GTAATCCAATTACCCAACGTTTGTTAGCTAATACAGTTTCTTTCACAGCTTCAACAAACTGTTCAACAGTTGGAGCAGGCATGGCATGCACATTCTTTCAGCATCATTTCTCATTCGGATTGCGTTCTCCTCAGGACGGAAGAGAAGAATATTACCGTCTTGTTTTCGATAAGCTATCAAACAAACCCTAAACCCCATTAAAACAAGGCATCAGTATATACAATCAAACCAGTGATGCAAAGAGACAAAAAAAACAAGACATTACACAACTTCCACAGCTCAGATACGAAACCGAATGCTAATTCTCCAACATCAAAGTAGACAAAAAAAAAAGTAGGTAAATTTGCTAGAATCTCACAGAAACCTTACTTACAAAGCTCACTACTTTCAAACCTTAGATCAAGTTTGGATTATTCAAACTCGCAATCAGTTAAAAAGATAGACTTTGAGGAAACTAACTTGTCCATAGTTATACGATCAAACCCGTGATGCACAGAGATAAACAAATTAAAGAGATTTGCTAGAACCTCACATAAACCTTACTAACAAAGCTCACTACTTTCAAGTCCTTAACCCAGTTAAAAAAAGGTAATGACTTTTGAGAAAACCAGCTGATGGGTTGATTGTCAATGTTCCCAAAACGTATCAATTCACCTTTCGAGAATTCACCGTCACGGCTACATTTCATTTTCGTACATGTAAATCCGTAGGTTTAAGTCCGAAATCGATGTTGTCCCAATCAATGTCGGCTAATTCATTCACACTGGTGCTGCTGGATCACAAATTAACAAAACCCATCAATCTCCTAATCAAAAGGACAACTACTACGAATGGAGTAAACGAAACTGAACCTGGAAGAAGACTTGGAGGAAACAGCTTCGCATCGGTTATTTTGAATCTAGAAAGAATCGGAATGTTAGAATCAGGTAGAAAGGAAGAAGCTTTCGGAATAAACAAGTGATTCTTTTGTTTTGTTTACCTTGAGAGAAGAAGAAGAGAAGTTGCGGAGAGAAATGAGAAAGTGGCGGCGGCGCGTGGTGGAGAAATTAATACTGCGATAATCATATTTACTCTTGCCTACTTTCTTGCATAATAAAGACGATTTTTGATGCTCATTTTTAAACATGGGATCATGTAATTGCTCAAACCTTTCGAAAGTCAAAAGAATTGTGAGCCATTAAAAGATTATGGATTGATTTTCTAACCAAGTTTGACGATTTCACTAGGCAAACATGATTTACGATTCAAGTAAAAATTATATTCCAATTATTCAAATCAAAAACGACGTCGCATTGACACTATTAATCCCGACCCGTTTAACTCAGAGCCCGTTTAAATCCGTTTGTATATTCCCGTTTAAGGCCCGTTTATTATTTAGCCCGTCGGGATTAGCATAGCCCGTTTTAATAAGGAATGTGATTTAGTTGGTGATTAATATGCAATTTTTACATTTATTTTGTAAAGTTTTTCAAATGCTATGGGCTTAGCATAAATTTAAGGGGGGAATTTGCAAAATTATGCTACATTGAAATCTAATATACATACATATACCCGGTTTCTATTTAGTAATATTGAAAGTGTTGTTACCTTAAAGATTCAAAGTTATTTCATTACACTTTATCTAGAGTTTAAGACTTCATAAGCTGAAAATATAGTAGAAATAAGCTAAAATTTCTGATCCGAGTGGTCACTCATCTTTTACTCAGAAAAATACAAAGCAAGAATTTATGAATTGGATTTGAGTGGTCACTCATTTTTTACTCCGAAAAATACAAAGCAAGGATTTCCGAGTTGGATTCGAGTGGTCACTCGTCTTTTACTCAGAAAAATACAAAGCAAGAATTTCTGAGTTGGATTTGAGTGGTCACTCATTTTTTACTCTGAAAAATACAAAGCAAGAATTTTCGAGTTGGATTCGAGTGGTCACTCATTTTTTACTCAGAAAAATACAAAGCAAGAATTTTTGAGTCGGATCCGAGTGGCCACTCATCTTTTACTCGGAAAAATGCTCATCATGAGTCTATCTTTTCAGACCTCTCTCGATGATAAAATGCTCTAAAATATGCTTGAAGAAATCACAGGTTTAGAATATCAAATCCTCTCCGTTTCTTCATTACAATTTCATGCATCATCACACACTCAACAATCTTTAATCTGCGTGGGGAGATGGGGAATTCAACATTTTCTTCAGGAAGCATTGGTTTTGCAAACATTTGGTGCTCCTCCTCCCATGGAGGCATGCAATGAACAAACCAACTCTAAGATCATAACATTAACAAACATGTTCTCTTATTCATTCTTGTTGTTGTGTTTTATTCAGACATAAATCATTAATTAGCGATAACACATGGAAACTAGTGGATGAGAGATTTGGGATAAAATGATTCAAGAGATCAAAACATAAGCTATAATTCAAGTTGAAGAAGAAAATAATAAAGGGAATCCTGGAAACGCACTCGGAAGCTACAAACGCAATGATACACAAGTACGTACCAGGTAACCCCCAACACATATCTTCCAACAACAAGTAAGAAAGGAAGCAATCAAACGCAGGACATTGAGAAACTAAATAAATAGAACAGAACAAATGTTTTTAAAGCATATAGATGACGAAAACAAATGTAGTTCAGCATAAAAGATGACGAGTGGTCTTTGGTTTAGTTCAACAAAAGATCCAACAAACATAGAGAGATCCACTCGTCATTTCAACAAAGATCCAAAACGAATATTTGATAATGTGCTAACAAGCATAGTCTTTGGTTTTTATTTTTTGAACATAAACTTGAACGTCACTTAGCCTCCTTAGCCAACTTCTTCTGAAGTTTCTTCCTAGCCTCCTTCAATGATTTCTTCATACGGTCCATATTCCTTCTATACTCTCTTAATCTAACCTCTTCCCTTGTAGGAACATCGGGTGGAACCTCCAAAAACGCTTTCCATGGCCAATAAATTTTGACTACATTGCTAACCGCATGTGGTTTTTTATCAACCCGGGAAGAAAGAAGAGTCAAATGTTTTGTTTTAAGTTTTGTACAAGTTTTGTGCAATCTTGTGAGGTGCAAGAGTAACATCCTCCCCAACCATGCCGTTAACCACTAGAAACTCTAGTTCACACATAAAACACCACGTTTTCTTTTTGTCTACAGTCACAGTCTACATGTGCACTTAACATTTACACATTTACACAATCAATAAAATTACAATAAGAGAGAGGATCAAGATTTACAATTTTTAGAGTGTGAACAGCTACTGAGCGATAATGATAGTGTTGGAGTAAATATTAGGCATTGGAGAATAACATTTATATAACAACTGCAAAAAGTTAACCAAACATATTAGTTTTGCTGATAAACACCAATTTGTGTCCTTGAGAACAGTGTTGAGATAAGAGATAAACACTTTATACTATCATCAAATAAACACGTTAAGCCCAAGTGGCTTTGATAGCGCAAATGGCTTTGATAGCCGACTCAGTTGTTCAAATTCGTGTCTGTTCATGATAATGAATTTGGCTAATATCTGACAGCTTACACTTATTCGCAGATTTGTAGTTTTCTAGCTGGTTTGTTCCATTCTAAATTGATCAAACGTGCTCTGATAGTGGCTCCAATGACCCTGCTGCCTCACTGGAGGAAAGAATTAGCTACCTTGGGACTTTCACAAATGACTAGGGGGTAAGATCTCTTTCCTTTTCTTTTCATTTACTGAAATGGTGTTAAATCATGTGTTACTGATTTCTTTTTCCTATCCTCTGTAAAATACTATGGCAATTCTACGAAAGCCCGAGAATCTGACCTCTGCCACATTCTAGAGGTACAAGTTCTTTTTTCATTGTTAGCCTGAGAAATGTCACTGCTACCTTAACTATGCAGTTATAAATCGTTTATATTGTGGCTAGAAGATCAATTATGGAACTTGTAGAGGAATCATTGCATTCATTGGCTCACACTTTTTTCCCATCCTGTAGCAAATCATCTTTTATCTGTATAGCAGCATATTTTCATATAGATTGATTAAGCTGAGAAATATATTAACAATCGTTTCTTAGTCATCTTCTCCTCCAAGCAGTTAGTTTTTATTGCATTCTCTTTGCTTTTTGGATTGTTTTGACCATCAGCTAATACCAAAATTTTACCAGACACCAGGGAGCGAATTCACCTTTGTAAAAGATGAAACTGGTCAAACTGCTCCAAAGGATGGGAAACTTATAGCTGGTGAAGACTACATGTACATGAAAGATGATGGAAAGAGTATAGACCAACCGTCTGATCCATATAGCCAGGTTTATTTGCTCATCTGATTTTTACTACATCCTACGTGCATTACACTCTGCTGTTCCTAAAACGTAGTGCTCATTGTTGTGTCCAGATCAGGCAAACACAAGAAAACCAATCCATTGTGGCGCCATTAGGTAATGATGAGTAACAGATCCTCTAGTATGCTATGCTATGCTATGCCATTTTTAACTTTATAGAGTAAACTTGATAATCAATCTAACAATAAAAAATGGTGATTGACGGATGCTTTTGAAACAGATATGAATATGAAGAAGCTATGGATTGACAGGATGGAGAAAGGTTTTCTATCTCTTACTGGAAATAAGAATTCCAGAGCTGACATGAGGTAAACTATTGAGATACTTATTTCCAATCTTCTGTTGTATGCTTTATAATTCTTCATGAGTGTGCTGAAAACAGGACTTCTGCTTGGAAAGACAAAATGCCAGATGAGGTAATGGAACTTCAACTACCCTTTTAGGTTGCTTGATTGGTTCTACACAATTGTTACGGATCTGAAATAAACTTTTTTGCAACTA